TCTCCCTCTCTGCCTCCTTTGGTTTCCCCCCTTGATCTCTTGTTTTGCCTTAATGGCTAGGTAGAGCACCTTGTGGGTGGGCGAGGAGAGATCCGATGAGGCGGTGCGTCGTGGCGAGATGTGCGGGGCAGATGGCCGTGCTTCTGCGCGAGATCATTGAGCGAGCCCCATCCTCTGGCATTTCTCTAGATGATGTCGAAGTGGAGCTTGGGGGGCGTATGCAGGCAGCCGCGACGACAGAGACAGAGACGGAGACGAGGAAGCCGCCGCTTCCTCACTCGTGGAGGGAGGCATTGCCGGAGGTGAACGACGTGCACTACGTGTGTGGCACCACGCTGTACCCGTGCAACTGGGAAGAGACAATGCGCGGCATCGCAGCGGACATGCCGCGCGAGGGGGTGACGGAGAAGGAGCTTCTGAAACGCATTGTCGGGGTTGAGGCGCGCTTTTCGCCGCGTAGCGTCTCCCTCGGTGAGCCAATGTGTAGGTGGGTGCGGCGCCGCTTTCCGCAAATTTTGAACGTGTCACGCTCGGCGGTGGACGGCACGCCAATTTACCGCGTCGTGGAGGAGCCGCTGCCCCCAGAGGCGGAGTCCATCACGCGAGCGCTGCAGCTGCTGGGCCGTGGGAAGCTGCCGGTATACACCGACGTGGGCCTAATAGCCTCACTGCTGCCGGCCTCCATGTGCCCAGGGAAGGGGAATTGGATGCGGCTCCTCGAGCGTGAAGAAGTGCGGCAGCACTTTGACGTGGACGTGAATGTGTCTGTGCGTCTCTCACCTGAACGCGCCCCTGTCGTTGTGTGCGTGGATGCCNAGTGCGGCAGCACTTTGACGTGGACGTGAATGTGTCTGTGCGTCTCTCACCTGAACGCGCCCCTGTCGTTGTGTGCGTGGATGCCACGAGTGTGGAGGTGTCACAGATTGGCAAGATCTTGGTGGAAAAGGGACTTTCAGGTTCCCTCTGCGACATCAAGGTGTTTCGCCGAGCTAGTAGCCCGTCGTGGACAGTGGACGACGTGGTTGTGCAGAGCTTTCTGGAGCCGGAGCACGCCATTGGCGCGGCGATAGCCTCCATGGGAATAAATCGGAGCCACGAGAGCAAGAGCAATAGTAGTAGCAGCAGCAGCAATAATAATAATAATACAAAAGTGTACGTTCTCTGCGGTGAGGTGGCGAGGGAACGGTACAAGACGGCGCTGGGGGATTTGCTCGGGCATGAGGGAACAGAAGTGAACATCTTTTCACCCAGCAATGGGGCACCTGTGAAGTAGCAGTAAAGGCAGAGCAACACAGAGTGCGAAGGGAAGAGGAAAAAAAGAGAGAGATATAGGGGCAATGTTGGTCCTTTTTACTTTCATGCCTCTTCCAACGCTAACGCAGCGTCACATACATCATCTTTTTTTCTCTTGGCATCGATCCGACGGGCGGCTGGTGTTCGCTATCGATGTTTCTGGTGTGCTTCCCTACCCCTCCGCTCTACCGATTGCTTCTCTCTTTCATTGGAAGCAGGAACGCATCGACCGTCCAAAAAGGAGAGAGAGAGAGAGAGATACGTTAGTCAAATGGTCCGTACCCAAAGATGGAAAAAGGGGGAGGTCCTCCGTGGTCTCTTCATTGTATGGGTGGCGGCACTCCTAATGCGGCACATGCTTCAGCGCATGGATGATGAAAAAGAAGATCAAGAGCTGCAGAAGAATATAGAATCTTACATCAGAAGGTCCTTGGAGCTTCCGGTGGCTGCGTATCCTTCGTGGGTGCATGGAGTATGGGTTCGCATTCCAGCCGATGTTGTTGCTGCAGGGAGAACTGTGGATGTGGTGCAGAAATTCCTGCAACAGGGCATTCCTGTAGGCGTTGTTTTTGTTGAACATGGAGCAACACTCTTCACACAAAATATGTCCAATACTCGTAGATTCAAGCACCTGGTGGAACAGCTTCACGCGATGAACCTTCGCGTGGTGACTTCAGTGGATTCCTTTGTCCGTCGAGGGACGACGGAATATGAGAGCTGCAAAGCACATTCCATGTTGCTTTTGACCTACACCAACGACAGTGTGCAGTGGAAGCACGCTGTCGATGATGTGACCACTCGCACAGAAGACGGAGGCTTGCTGGATCTCACCAATGTGGAGGCGGTGCGGTGGTACCGCCGTCGCCTCGAGCAGGTGCTGCAGACAGGCGTCAACGGCGTGTGGAACGAAGCAATGGATGGGGTGCTTTCATCTGCATTCGGACGCGGTGTTCACGGGCGTGGTGGGTTCGTGGATTCTGCGCTCTACGCGAATGATTACTACTACCAGACCTTTGATTATGGGAGAGAACGAAATGGTTTTGACTTCATCACTTCTTTTCTTCCCGTGGACTCCCTTTCACGGGAAACGGTGCTACGTCCTTTTGGTCCAACCGACATTTCGTTCGCCACACTGGTACGAAACCATCCGTTTTCTTTTTCCGGACTGGAGGATGCGGTGACTTCAATTGAGAAATCAGTGGGGAAGGGATACATCAATGTGGGGGTAGAGCCTCGTGGTCCACTGAAAGGCGGTGTCGATGTTGCTCTGAGGTGGGTGCAGCTAGCAGCCATGTGCCCTCTCACATGTATTCCATACACACTCCTGGAGTATGTCAAACTACATTTCCCGTCTGATTTTGAAATGTTTTTGTCGGAGGTAGGGAAGTTGACACTGTTGCATGAAACGCTTCGACCCTACTATTTTTCTCTGGGATCATTGACGTTTTTCCACCAGTTTCGCCAGCGCAATGCCTCACCAATGAAGGTGCCGGCTCCTTTTGTGATGAGTATGGTAGATGTACAGACAAAAGGTCCGTGGCGCGGATTCAGCATTGGGGCGGAGCTTTTCTTTGTGCCAGTGACAAGAACAGTAATAGGAAAGGACGGGGATCTGCGAGCCAGGCAAACATTTTCTGTAACGTTTCCAGTGGAACTCGGGCCGTGGATTCCCCATGCCGCTTCACAGCTTCCATTCGCCGTCTACGCTGCTGGCAGCGAGGCGCAATTCACTGTCAACGTTACACAGCTTCTGTTGTTTCAGCGTGGTGGTGCTGTCATTCCTGTGCGGGAACCCTCCCTTCCGGGTGTGGTGACGTTCCGTGTGCAGTATCCTCAGTTGAGCCTCTATCCTGAAAAGTATATACCGAATGATATCGTGGATGGAGACAATGTCAATGCAGCTAAAAGAGAATTAGCCATCTTTTACAGTGAAAGTGGGAAAAGACATTTTGTGTGGTTTACTGTGGAGCAGGATGTCGGAGAACTTTTATGGCTAAATGTCAATGGAACAGTCAGTGGCATGAAGACCATAGTCTGTGTGAGTGGAGCCGATGCCATCATTTCTGACGGAATTGTCGATGACGGCTACGGGCGCGCCACTTCCACGCATGAGTTCCATGAACTTGTTGCAATGGGCACTTCAGCGGTATTCAGCGCATCAGGAGAGGCGTGTTTCTATACCTCTCTGATGGCCGTGGATTCAGTCGCCCGCATTGGCCCACTGAAAGGCATCCTCCAATAATCAAGTTGTGCGATGAGAAGAGGGGTGTGTCGGGAGACATGAGTACGTGCTTGAGTGCAGTTTGGGCCGCGTGTGTATTTGTGTGTGTGGGTGTGTGCTTGGTTTCCAAGTTGTGACCAACTTGATGAAACTCAGGTGCCTCCTCTCATGCTCTCCTGGCTTTCCCCAGACTCCCTCCTTTCCTTTTCATTCGCCTTTTCTTTATCATGAAGTATCCCCCTTCTGACTTTCGTGATGGATACGTTTCAAGCAAGGCTTGACGCCCTTCAGAAGCAGTCCAAGGAGCAGATCACGGCGGTAATGGCGGCGCTGCAGGACGCGTGCAGTGAAGGTACGCAGCCGGTGAGAATAGCAGTGGCTATCGGCAACCGACTGACGGGTAGTCAAGTAGCAGCTTCTTTCCCAGTTATCTGCCTCATAGACGCCATGACGACGAAGCAGGAGGATGCACATATCGCGGCAGTTTTGGAGGAGTTCTGGCGTATTGCACCACCTCTGTTTCTGAACTACGCAACGACGGACGAGGCGCTTCGGGAAAAGGTTATGCGAGCACTGAAGCGATGGGGAGGGAAAAAAGTTTTTTCACCCTCCATTTCTGAAAAGCTACTGGCCGCAATGAGCGGAAAGGAAGTGAAAGAAGTCACGGTGGAGGCGAATGAAGCAGACAATGCACGACGTGCGAGTAATGAAACAAAAGGCTCGAAAATTGATTTCACGAGATCCGAGGTGTCTGGGTTTTGCTCTATTCTTCAGACATGCATGAAGATGATTCAACAGCTTCCACCACATCGAGCCAGCATGTATCTAGAGGTTGCACGGAAAGAAAAGCTTCTTCAGACGCCATCGAGGTCTGCACTACTATTTTTTAAAGGCCTCCACGCCGAGTTGACTCGTGAGTCTGCGCTCTACAACAGCAATGTTGTCAAGAGTGAGCACCAGGCCTTCCCTGCGTTGAGTAGTGGCACTGAAACCAAGGCAGCGCTTGGTAACCTTTTAGACAGGCTCGCCAAGGAGCTGGCGTCTCCAGCAGCACCGGCCAGCAGTAACACAGATCACTCGTTTCATGTGGTACGTTACGTCTCGCCCTTACAATCTGATATTTGTCAGCGTCTCTC